CTTGAAGACGTTTCACCTCTCATCCGAGAAGCTTCTTCAGTTCTAAGGTCAAATGGTGGGGAGTCCCAGATTTTCTGGGTTGCAAAATAAACCTTTAAGATATTTTTAGGCGAGAATGTAGACCCAGAAAGAGTAATATTAAAACTAAGTAGCTGCTGCCGTTGTTGGAAACTGGACCGCGCTATGAATTCTGGGATAGGTTGGGCCACGAAGGATACACCCGACCCATCAATCAAATCTAGGGAAAAGGAGGACGGATTTTTGGGCCATATTTCGAGGAGTCTTCGAATTTGGACAGCCTTCGTCGCATCACGGTGATGTAATTGGCATTCAAATGGGGCCTCAGGAGGATGCAGCCCCTGAATTTGGACACACCTATGATACCGGAGGCTGCTTCTTCTTCTTCTTTCCCGTTGAACGGCAGCTGGCATCCTTGTAGATGCATAGCTGCCATCTTCTGTTTCAGTCCATTACCACACTCTTAAATTCTACTACTTACTTCTGCGTCTTTCAGAATCTTACAAAACTTCCAACGACGTGTCGACTTTTAAATTACTTGTCGATGATTTTGATAGTCAACATAAGCGTGACTTCTCAGCAGTGTTGATCTGCAACTTAAAGTGATGTACAGAATTAAAAATGAACTATCTGGAAGTTGATGTTCACTCATATCATAACAAACCTTGAAATACAGGCTTCCTTAAAAAGATTGATTAAATGATTGATTGAAGACTTTGAGCAGCTCCAGTGCTGGATGGCAGATGTTATGTTAGCAGAGTTATGCTGCTATTGTTTCTTTTCATTGCTATTGAACGCAACCTGATCTTTGCCCAGAGTGTAATGAAACATTATGATTACCGCTCCATTTATCAGGTATGGCATCACTGGCAAGATGTGGCGTCATTACTTCTTTTCCTCTTATACTAGACTATGGGTATATGGATGATAGGTAGCTGTTTAAGATACAAAGGTGTATTATAAGACATGATGGTCTGAAGATTGCTGATTAGCATGCTAGCTGGCATGCTAATCAGCAGTGGATGTAAAATGTAGACATGTTTAATATTTCTATTTTTAACATTCTGTTGATATTATTGATTATATTATAAGTTAATTTTTGCGTGTTTTTATCTTAAAGTATGTATTGACCCTTGGTCAATTGTTCTCAAGCTAATTTGCAAATCTGATTTGAGAAAGGCAGTCAGGTTTGGTTAGTTAACAAAAAATACCAAACTACACAGCTGCTAATGATAACCTTTATACAGGAAGCATTATTTATTCCATTTATTCTTAAATGGAAACAGGGATGCTGGATTGCTAACCCACTATTAAAACTCCTGTTTCTACACGAGATGCTGAATGTGAATCAAGATTGTTCCAGATTACATTGACTTTTATTCAACACTGACTACCAACTTAGCTACTGAAGAATCATTTCATGGAAATTTGTGTTTAAATGTTCAGTCTATTCTGTCTTGGAGGAAAACATTTTCATGAGTGTCGTGGATCTTTTTTCTCACAGTAATGAAATGAAACCCTTGGATGAAGACCTGAAGGATATCATCCTCAGAGCTTTGCCATTAATTTCTAAAGAGACTCAACAGTCATTGATTCATAAGCTGTTAAGTGATGGAGTGGAGTCTACCCAGGACCTAAAATTTGTCACTGAAGATGATATTGCTGACTTGCTGCCTCCCCTTCAATTACAGACACTCCTGGAAGCCTTTAAAAATGGTAATGTTGACGTAAATACACTATTTTTTCTATACAATGTTATAGTAGTATATCTGATCATTTCTAACAGCCCTTTTCTTAAAATATATATTCCCTGAACTCTAAATCCGTCAGTACAGTGAAATGGTAAAATTGTACTGAAAGTTTTTAAAACTGTTTTTTACTTCTGTTAACTTATTTTGTCATTCTAACATTCTGCTGGTTTGCCCACTGAGTGCTACAGCCAAGTGTCTGTGTTTTTTACCAAAACCTTTAAATATGATGCAGCTCTTGATCCATCCATTATGTGATGTTTATCTGGGTTCACATCAGGGGCAGCAGTCTGAACCGGACCTGCATGAATGGGTCTTTAGTAGTGCTTAGACATTTATCTAACAAGCAAACGATCCTTGATTCAATCCCAGAAAGAGACACAAATCCCTTGGGAGCTCCAGGAATAGGATCAGGATGAAAAATCTGCCAAATCAAACATCAACTACCTGTGTGGTGACCCTCTGTGGCTGAGGGAGCTTTTCACAGCGACTGCCAGCGACTTCCAGAGACTACTGGCAACCACCCTGTTGACTGTTAGATAGATGTCTAGGTCTTTCTGACCAAGACCTTAGAGATATAATGAGTAACTTGGCTATTCAGAGGGGTATCTATCTGGATGGAGGTGCTACTCCGTTAAAAAAAGACCGTTAAGGGGGATTCATTATGTCTATGGAGCCTCAGATCCTGGGGAAAATCAGAACCTTCTGGTGAGATTTTTGCTAGTATTTGTATTCTCATGTTCCTGGTTTGGTTGTTGATAAAAGGCTGGTGGGGTATTGTCTTCATTCTGGACACCAAAGTTTGTGAGTATGATAACTTGGAAACAGGGTGACATAGGCGCATCTACTAAAAATCCTGGATTAGTTCAATTTCCAGTTAAATTGAACTCACTGTTACAGGTCAAGTTTTCTGAAAACCTTAAGAATCCATAACTCAAGAACAAGAAGATGTAGGGTTTAGAAAATTATACCATAGGAGGAGGATACTGGGAGGCTCAGGGGTCGCACTGACGGTCGGCAGTATTTAAAAAATATATATATATTATTAACTTATTATCATTAACTTATTTTAAGCGCACACTTGTATAAGAGACAATTGAGCTCACTGTGTGTTTTTTTTCCTTTCCTTTTCAGAGACAGACCTGGTTACTTTGGACCTGCCAGTGACTCCTTCCTCTAGCTCACTGCTCAGCAGTCCTGCAGCATCACCTTGCTCCACTCCATCCGGTGTACTCCCACTCTCGAATCAAGAACATGACAACTCAGAAAGCTGCTGGCAAACCACCCTTTTCAGAAAACAGTGGGCAGAGACATTCCAGGTGCCCTGGGACCTCATGCCAATGGAAATTCAAGCAGCGGTTGCTGAGGGCAAGAGACCATCTCCTGCAGCAAGGAGACAGATGGTTAGGATTTTAGCAGATGAGATGAGGAAACACGAGCTAAACCCAACACGTGCTCAGTGTGTAACCATCTGCCGAAACATTGTCCGTAAGTACCCTCAGAGCTTTGCTGATCTGTGTGACAACGGTCAGCTGCTGGAAGAGGATTACATCTCGCTTGTGATTCAAATCAAAAACCGAATTGATAACCTGAAACGGACCAGCAACTTTCGCCACAGCCGTTTGTCTGGAATGAAAAGAGGATCCACCAACAATTATGGCTGCGCCAGATTTGAGCCTGGCCTGCTGCCGGAGGAGACAAATGAAACAGTGGAGCGAAAACGCCAGCGACTGGAAGAAATTTACCATCAGGATGACTCAAGCATGGTAGAAAAAGACGAAGTAAAAGAACTCATGAAAGTAACCTTCGACCTGCAGCGCCGCCAAATAAATGCACTCCCAGTACCGGCTATTAGAGATTTAAGGGGCAGATGGCCTTATCTTTTCACACACAATGGACTTTATACTCATTTTGAGCTGCTCACTGATATCAAAGTGCTTCGCACTCTCGAGGTTGCAATGGAGGAGTGTGGACCAACCATCCTGGAGATCTTCAGCAAGTCCACTAATCCAGATATCCAATCCATCCTCTCAGTGGGTCCAAAACTTGAACTATCCTTCTGCATCCTGCAACTTCTGATGGCTCACTTCTCCGAACCCCTCAGAGGACTGATTCTTTTTGCAAATGTGAGTTATTTTGGGGTTTTTGATTTCTTCAAAGGTGACACCTGTATCTGTTGTCTCTGTTATTGTGGAAGACAGCAGTTTTATTTGTTTCATGTTTTTGTTAATTAATTTAGTCATAACTGTGTCCCAGGCAAATGCCACAGCAGCTGAATTACAGACGACACTCCAACTACCTGCAACTCCTCGACTGATACTCCTCGGTATGACATACATATTTATTTTTTGTTGTTATGATTGCAAAAGCCAACAGCGTTAAGCATTAAGTGCTTCTTGAGAAGAAAAATAGCCTCACTATAATTTCATAACTCATGACTTATAATGTCATAACAAAGATTTCTCTTATTACCCAAGAATCCTGTTAACACAGTGAACTTTCACCCGTTGCCAAATGCTAAAAGTCACAAGAAATTTAGTTCAACTTGAACTGAGATGAGTTAATGAGTCTTCGGTCGACAACATCTCCCTAGAGGAGGTCAAATTTTAATTACCGGTTGCCTTTTTTCCCCCCCATATTTTTCACCCGGTTTCACTGTTGGCTGTTGGCTTCTTTCACTTGCCTTGTCTCTTTTGCACATTTTCCATGCAAACTGTAGTAATCGTTATCCAGTTAGGAAGTCACCAACTGGTCTTTAAAGACTGAAGCTTAAAACAAAAGGCAGAGTCATGCTGGCGTTTTTTGGCACCTTCACAGACTGCAGGTTGTTCCTGATCTTGAATTAGAAAATGTTACCCTCACCTGTTTGTCTGCTGTAAAGCATAAATGTGGCACAACTCACATTCAATATGATGATCACTGGAAGACCCCAGCTCATAATTTTCTCCATAGCTCCTCTGATATTGGAGGACTCTGTCTGGGCAGTAGAAGTTTTAGCACCTTCAAGTGGTGAAGATTCTCCATTTCTATTTTCTATTTTATTATGATGAAAAAAACACCAGCAGACTTTGTATAACTTGCAAACCAAAAAATTGTGAAAGTCAATAAATTAGAAGAAAATCATGTTTTAAAAAACAGCTTCTGCAACAAGCTACTCTTCAGCACCCCAAAGAAAACAAACACAACACAAAAACAAAGCTTATCTAGCTTGCTTTTGCAAGTTGTATGCCCAGAGTTCCCTGTAAATATATGTACAGTCAACATGAACAATGTTTTATATATTGCCCAGTCGTATACACTACACAATCATCGGCATATTAAAATATTATTTTATGGGCGCGACTCCGGAAGCTGAAGTCATGCTCTGTGACTGGAAAATCTACAGTTTTATTTTCATGCCTAACTGCGAAATTCTGGTCAGATACAGATGTTAAATGTTCTTGACAGGGACTGAGTGATGTACTTGATGGTTCTGTGTGTTTATTAACACATTTGCACTGCAGAAGTATATTGAATAAATAAGCTCATTACCATTTCAGTACTAATGGTGGGATTTTATTTGGATTTTAAGCCGAATCACCGGAAAGCTCCATTCGCCGCTGGATGATCAGTCTTGAGGGGCACATCATTTGCGAGGGCATCCAGCCGACTTTTCTGTCCGGCCTCGCTGCTGTCTTCTCTACTTACTACATCTTCAATCTTCAGTATCAAGACGATGCTGCATGCACGCTGGAATTCATTCAAAGGTTAGATGAGTACATTTTCCAGCTGTTAATTTGTGATGTGAGGTCTTTGTGCTAAAGGGCTTGCAAGAACCCGTTCCTGTGTCACTTTGGATCTGACCACACATTTGTTTTTTCCAGGCGATTGATTGGGATAAATCCCGACAGAGGCACCAAAGTTCCACAAGGCAAATTCCTGTCAAAGGAGACTGGGAAGTTCACACAGGAAAAGACTTCGCCAGTCAACCCCCAAGTTTTAAAACTGTTAAAGAAACTAATGAATGTGAACCCAGCTGTTTACACCCACACAACCATGTTTCCATCAGTTCAGGGGACATCAAACTGACATTCATGTTTATTTTTGTGGAGAAATCCGAATTTCTGGGGTCTGAAGAACCTTTTGGAGCAACAGCCGACACTTTGGAGCTTGCAGTGTAGTGGCTGGATATCCAGACCAGAACTTTGGGTCCCATGCACTGGCCATAGTCTATTAGTCTACATGATGTCGTCAGATTGTTTTGAGAGTGCACTTTGACTAGTGCATTTGTCTTTCATTCTTGATTCGGACTTGCTGCATGCACCAAGTACCAGAAAAGTTTCTGGTGCCACAGATTCTGCAGACTGTTTATACAGATCACCCTTTGCCTTACTTAAGACTTTGAAATGTGCAAATTCAAAGTGTGAAAGAAACAAGGAACAAATACAACTTTATGCTGTTTTCTTTGTTTGGGTTGACTTATGTTCCCCAATGCAAGTTGCTGTTTTCTAGCAGAAACTCTGAAGTACTATATTTTGTTTACTGTACACCTTTTTTTTAAAATTGCTGTAATTAAAGTTACATTTCTGGGGTAAGATTTGGGCATTGTTTTACATTTCCTGTTTATCTTCGTTCATTGTTTACACACTGACTGCATAAAGGGTCATCTGCAGTACTATGTTTATTTACTATGCAGTACTATGTTTAGTACTATGTTTATTCAGTATGTCACAAAGTTCAAATCTTCTCAGAAGGGTTTGTACAACACGACAGTGATGCAAGCATGCCAAGTCAGCCAGTGGATTCAAACTGAGGATCTTAGTGGAACGAAAAAAAGTGTATGTAAATAGATAGATAGATAGATAGATAGATACTGTCATGCTCCAGACATTACGGGTTTTTTTTAATATAGTAAATGTGTGTGTATATAGTGTTTTAGTCTGCTTTCTTTATAACGTTTCTCCCCGGACACATTTTGCGACAGCACGATAGGAACACCGTCCGGTCAGTATCGTTCGCCTCTGAGACGGACCCGTGAAAGCACACACATGTTTTATCTCGAGAAGAGCGGCAACTCGGAGTCCCCCTACAGCGTCGCTAACATGTCCAAGAGCTACATACTGAGAGGAATCATCACTGAGAAACTGAGCACAGCCGCCCGGGAGATCTTAGCGGTGGTGGAGAGGACTGTAGCCGACTACGAGGAGGAGGTCGCGGGCTTCAGGCAGGAGATCGACCGGCAGAGGAGACTGCTGGAGCTCCTGCAGCCTCGGGTTAAGCTTGAGAGGACAGGTCAGTGACAGAGGCGGATTTGCCGAACTTCATTTGAAAATGACTCATTTAATATTTCCTTGCTAGCTGGTGAACATAGTGACTTAACAGTGCAAGAAGAAAATGTCCGCACAATTGTTTAGAATGGGATTAACAAGTCGGCATGCGTTTAGTCAGCTTTCACAGGATAATGTGAGGCAATTAACGCTTTTGGGGTTCCTTTAACTTTATGGGCAGCCCACCCCCTGAAGCTAATGAAAAATTAATTCTACTAAAACTCGAAATTTTCACTTGTGTTTCTTAAATTTTGACTTAATAACTTGCAGCTTTTCCCTCCCCACTGTCACCAAAGTGCGTGTGATTATTGTGGTTTCTATGTATTATTGTAGGGTCTTTTTCATATATTATAAAGCGCCTTGAGGCAAATGTTGTAATTTGACACTGAATAAATAAAATTGAATTGAATATAACTGAAATTTCTAGTTATTCAGAAGTAAGTTGCATTTTCAAGTCGGCTTGTCAACATTTTTAATTAACCCAAAACTTGAGTTGATTATAAACAGTTTTGACTTAATGACTCATAATTTCCAGTTTTTCAGGAGTTAGTCGCAATTTTGAGATACTGATTTGAAATTTGGACTTGGCTCTGATTAGCAATTTTTATTTTTCAATGTTGGAAATGAGCTTACATATAAAACATAAAGGTGAAGTTTTCACAGTTCACATGGAGCCTGCTCTATCAGTTTTAAGAATTTAAGATGTCAGATTTTCCACAGTTTGCAGTTATTTGAGTGATAAACAGGACTAAATCCCAACTTTAAAGCTGTTCTTTAAAAATACATGTTGCTTTCAGCTGTTCATAGCAATATTGTGTTTGGCCATACATAAAGTAACTGATCAGATCTGACTGACAAAAGTAATCTCTTGTCACAGATCTGGACATCCATGAGGTGGTGGTCATGACCGGAGACAAAGAGGATCAGCAGCACACACATCTGCCGGGTTTGTTTTCTGTCAAAGCTTGTTTTCTTAAATGTTGAGAAAAAGGAGGAATGAGTGAATGAACGACTCTAAGGACAATACGTTTTTGCTGCAACACTAAAGAAGATGTTCAGACTTACATATGGTAGTAAATAGTAAAATAGGGTGTGTAATGTTTCCAGGTATGGAGGGTGCTGGAAGTCCAAGTCTGCTACGTCGTGATGAAGATGAAGATGAGCAGCGGATGGCCCAAATGTTGACGAGCTCCAGGCGGAAAAGAGAAAATCTGATGCACCCGGATTATGAAATGCCAAGGTTACAAATGCAATGTCAGCAGTCTGGATGTTACAGTTAGTTTACATTGTGACGCTTCGTGTTTTAACAAAAAACTTTGCATTTACGCCAAGGCTTCACCTTTGCCAGCACTGGCCTGAATGTAGTGCTCTAACACAACTACCATTTCTCCTGACAGGAAGAAGTCCAGCAAACATTGGCTCAGTGACACACAGAGACATCTACATTTCAGGATTTGTTTCCTGGAGGACTCTCAAGGTGGTATGCTCTCAAACATGGGTACATTTTAAGTTCCTGTGTTAGCACCTGAACCAAATAGCCAGACCTAATGATACTAAAAACCTTAAATGTTCAAGGACTTGCAGATGGACTTGCAGAGTTCTGAGATGCTGCCGCCCAGGATAACCATTGTTTCCTCACTGCTTGCAAAGTCTTGATCTCACGATGGTTTCTTCTTTTTCAGGGTTTAAAAAAACTCTGTTTGAGGACCTGAAGTGTCCCCGTGATCTAAAGGAGGGTGACTTCTTGGACATGATCAAGTCCACGTTCCCTCAGCTGGCCGGGGACAAACCGCTGAACATCTTCAAGTCTGACCACAGTAAGAGACTCCAGAGGCTCATGCTGAAGACCCTGACACCAGAAGAGATCTACAGGACCATGAAGCCCACCGGGCTTGAAAAGGCTGTCCTCTATGTCAAACTTAAGGTCGACACTAGAGTAGTTTTCCTCACTGCTGCCACAGATATAGTTATAGTCATGAAAAGTCTTTTTACAGGTAAAACATTAAAGGAAAAATGATAAATAAGTGTTCAAAACTAAATACCTCTTATGGTGTGTTTGATTTCTTCTGCTTCCAGCTGACTCTTTAGGAAACAAAACAAATGACAGCACGAACACACCACTGAACAGAGCAGAACATTTCCACTGTAATAACAGATAAACTGTAACTTGAATTGCTGCTCTGAACTTGGTTCTGTTAGTGTTGAGATATCTTCATGGAAGTTTGTGTTTATTTGGCAAAAATGGTGATGAAATATGTCCTAAAATAAGCTTTTCCCACTGTGTCTGTCTGAGATACAGTCAGATGAGCCAAAACAAATGGCTTTGACCTGCGTTAAAACCATGTTCTGATTGCGTAAAATGCAAACAACTAAAACAAATACAAACTTTTGAAGAATAACTGATTTAAATGACGTTAGTACTTTCTGAGTTTTTGTAAAGTTGTTTTTTTTTTTATCTTACAGACAGGAAAGGAAGATGAGGAGGAAGAACTTCACCTGTTACCCACAAGTGATAAACCTTTAACACACAGTGACAGAGTGCTTATGGAAGGCGATGAAGCCATTTCAAGGTGAATTAAAAACTGAAAAAGAAATGTTGAGTTATTTTGTTTAAAGGTCAATGAAACAGTGTGTCCTTTTTTGGCTGTTAATGAAATATTAGCAAGTATACCACCCTATAAAGATAAAGATCCCCTAACAAACACAACTGTTTGAATTGCTGGCTTGTATGTAAAAGCAAAACATTTACAAACACAATGTCAAACAGTTGACAGATGACACTCTACTTTTTACATAAAACCAAATGAAAACCTCAATCAGGATTTTTTTTTCTTAAGTATTTTTATTCATATTTAGGCATGAAAAGATGAAAAAAGATCCTGATTGAGGTTGTCATAATTCATGCATGACAGGGTTAAATAACAATAATTACAATGCATCACGTCATACACCTATAGTAACATTAAACGACCAGTGGGTGACAGGGTATAGAGTGACACATCAGCGTCCAGTGTAGTGGTTCATGTGTAAGTGTACCATCAACACTGACACAAATACAGAAAACAGCCTTTGAATAGCTGTTCACTGTAGTGACCACTATGTGTGAAAGGGTTACAGGCCTGGACTGGTAGTCTTGCATATTGTGCATTTCCCCTATTGGGCTGGCGAGCCTGTGGACTAATAGTTGAATGTAATTTATTTCTTTGTCGATATAATTATACGGGCCAGTCCCAGTCCATCTGAATAGACTGTTGCAATAGATCATAGAAAATACAAATGATCTGCACAAAAAATTGTGTTTGAAGGCAAAACGACTGGAGTGAATTAAAACATTGATCCATGACCAAGAAATATTCTTGATTTTATAATAAATTCACAAAATGAACTAAATTTTAATTTGTATTCATTACCCTCATTGAGAACTGCAACCATCAGTAAAAAGAAACCTACTGAAGGAACAGTCATTAGCTATTTCTATAGTCTTAAAATTATTTGTATCCAACATTTAAAACATTTAATTGCTCCATATTCTTGATATTAAAAATACGTTATTATTGACCAACATAATAGCCGGCTCCTCACAGCTTTTAGATATTATGATTTCGAATAAAGTTTTGATTGTTATATTAATGTGAGGTTTGCAAGCAATTTGATGTAATTCTTGGCTTGTCTGTATTTTTCAGTCAATATTCATAAATTAATTTATGAAAATCTTTGTTTCTTACCAGCTCCGTTCAACATTTAGACAATACCAAAGTGGATGTCATGGCCAACAGCTCAGCATCACAACTACAGCTCTTGCTAACAAAAGATGCTGCTGTAAATGGGTCTAGTGATGACAAACATGGAGTCGTGGCATTAAACCCCGAGCTGCAGGTGGCAAAACGTTCGAAGGCAAAAGAGCTCCAAAGTAGTTCGGAGACAATTCAGACAAGTACAATAGCCTGTAAAGTGTGTGGACTCCAGGGAAACCAGGACAGCTTGATTCAACATGCATGGAGTCACGTGGATGAGTCACCGGCTGTTTGTGGAATTTGTGGAGAACGTTTTGAATCAGTGGAAACATTAAAGGGACATCTTGCAAATGACCCAAAATATCACAACTCTAATATCCAAACGTCTCTGCAAACAGAGGCGAAACAATACAAATGTGAAATTTGCGCTAAATCATTTGGTCTAAAGGAGCAGCTGGAAATTCATTGCAAGGAGCACGCTGGCCTACAGAAATACCACTGCAACATCTGCGGGAAAGCTCTCTCCCATCTTCGATCAATGAGCCGGCACAAGCTGACTCACACAGTGGAGCGACCCCACAGTTGTGAAGTTTGCGGGAAGCATTTCAGATGCCCGCACGTTTTAAATTCTCACAAGAAAATCCACACGGTCAGGGAGCGGTCGTATCTCTGCCACATCTGCTGCAAAAGCTTCATGTCAAACGGCGTTCTGTCGACTCACATGAAGATTCACAGCAACGAGAGGCCACACATCTGCTTGGTGTGCAAAAAGGCTTTTATTTATAAAGGTAGTCTAAAGGCTCACATGCGAATGCACACCGGCGAGAAACCGTACAGCTGTTCCCAGTGCGGCCGCTCCTTCAAGCACAAGTGTCACCTGAACGACCATGTCAGGAGCCATTCAGGCATCAAACAGTTTGTGTGCAGCATTTGTGGGAGAGCGTGCGCTCGCCAAACTCAGCTGAAGGCCCACATGAGGACCCATAATGGAGAGAAACCGTACCAGTGCGACATCTGCAAGAGGTCCTTCTCGCACCGCGGTACTCTCAAGTCACACGTGAAGATCCACGAGGCCAAAAAAAAAGACAGTGACCCGCCCGAAAACCAGACAGTGTGTTAACGTGGGCTTGATTCCCTCCTGTGCAACTTGTACGACTCTTGACTTTTTTTCTTTTTTTTCTTTTAAAGAAAAAGTGTTAAATGAGGTATTCCTTTGGTAACAAAGCTCATGACATAAATACTTGGGTCTTGAGAGAAGGACATGAATAAAAATTATTTATTGAATAAATAATTTTTATTAAGAATTGAACTGAATAATTGGTTGTCTTTCTGGATATAAGTACTGAAAAGCCTAAAGAGATGACTAGTTCTGCTTTTTTGAAAGACAATTAAGCCAAATCTAAAGGGAAGAAATCAAAATGTAAGGAGCATGTTTGAATGATTAAAAACACACACCAGCAGATTCACAGAAATAACTGACACTATCTTACCATGTAGCGTAAGGAAAAACATGAAAGTAGACTTTCAGTCAGTCAGTAAGAAAAAAACAAATTTGCGTTAATTTAAAAAAATTAACGCAAAAAAAAAAACCATAGTTTTGATTCTGACTTCATGTTTTCAAAAACGTTACCACTGTCTTTGTGTATGTATATACACGCAAAGACAGACAGGAAATGTATAGAGAGAGATAGAGAGATATATTTGTATAAATCTAAAAGATGAAAAAATACTTGATTTCTGGGGGATTTTGTGGAACTTAATTAAAATTAGTTTAAAAAGTTGTACAACTTAAAAAAGCTGTCAACAAAAGAGAAGAAGCAACATCTACATCTTTATTTATTTATTGTCATTATGTTGCTAGAACATTATGATAGAAAATTTCAGTGGTGCCCTCGGTAATAAAGAAAACCCAAAAAGATAAGTTTGGGGGGGGGGGTTGTATATTTTTTTATGCTCAAAACATCATCAAGAGGCACAGTGTTGATGAGGTATCAGCTGAAATATATATACCAGGTTATACGTTCATGGAAAACCAATTTGCACCACAGGATGGTGCGTCAATGTTAACGTTTGAAATTTAGAGTTATTATGTCATCTTAAAACTTGTTTCTTCTAAAGATATTGAGTCAAAATTTTGAGCTGATTACAAAAGTGGATGTAAAACAAAAAAGATTGTTTTTCTCATTAGTGGAAACTAGCTTCCATAAAAGTCTCTTGAAGAAGGAAATATTAAAAGTTGAAAGAAGAGCAGTATACTGTACATCGGAAAACATAAAAACATCCACTGATAAAAGCCAAACAAAAAGGAGAAACAAAGAGAAACTTTAAGGGGATTTTCTTTACTCTGGCTTAACCTTTGTTACATTTTTTAATTGACAAATTTAAGAAAATTTACTTTAAGAAAAGCTTAGTTTTCTCTGCTTTTCTTTTTTAAGAAAAAAGAAAAGCAGAGAAAACTTGAATGAACACACTTTTTGTTAATTCATATTGAATTGAAACGGTTATTAATGCAATTTCCGTGTTAATTAGAAACAGAAATATGAAGGACACTAACTAATAATAAAAAAAGTTTTTAAAGCAAACATTTGGAGAATAATCTTTGTAAAATAATTATTACATTACTAAAACTGGTTGAGTTGTTGAATCGTCACTGAAAGCTGTCCGGATAGAGTGGTCAGAAAAGGATACAGCTGTTGTTTCTCCCCGGACGCGATAAGCGGCTGCACCGTAGCCGTGTCAAACGCTTTCGACGTCAAAACTGTGAAAAAACAAAGAAAAACATGTTTTGCTGGACGAGCAGCAGCGGAGGCTCGGAGCCACTCGATGGCGTCGCTAACATATCCAAGAGCGACATACTGAGAGGAATCATCACTGAGAAACTGAGCACAGCCGCCCGGGAGATCTTAGCAGTGGTGGAGAGGACGATAGCCGACTACGAGGAGGAGGTTGCGGGCTTCAGGCAGGAGATCGACCGGCAGAGGAGACTGCTGGAGCTCCTGCAGCCTCGGGTCAAGCTTGAGAGAAGAGGTCAGCAAAGTTATGCTTATGGGTGTTCCGAACTTTCTTTACAAAATTACACATTTATACTCACTAACTGGCAAAGAAAAAGATCAAAACATCTGAAACAAATGATACACAGATTGTTTTTTTGACGTAAACATAAAGATTTTTGTGAATTGGGTGGGTTTGGTCACTTTCACATTCTCTACACAGCACTTAATGTAGAAACAGACAGACTTAGTGAAGGTCAAAAGATCAAAACAGCTAACCACCTCGGAATCTTTTACATTTACCTTATTATGAATATTTCACTATAAATATTTTTTTGAGTTCCAGGCCCTCTTAATTTAAAAAAAAGTGTTTTATTTTTAAAGAGTTGATACCAGAGCTGCACAGCTGTGACGTATTGATGGAAGCCAGTCTCGAGGAGAATGAGCATCACACGCAGCAGTCAGGTGTGTTTGTGAGGAGGTTTTGCATTAGAGATTTTGCGTTGTAAAATCCAAAAAACACCAGCAGTACAAGTAACTGAACTGACAAAAGCAGATGAAGTAGAAGTAAAAGAGGAGTTGGAAGCTCTCAGAGTGTTAGAGTGCTGGTTCGAAGTTATGAGATTTGCAAATGAACTGCATTTTGTTTTATTCATATTTGACGTAGAATTGAGTTTGTAGTAAAAAGCCTTTATTTTAGTGAGTTAAAGACATTAAAAAATGCAACAAAATGCATCAGCTTGCACCTCTTACAGGGTGTAGTGATACAAAGATGCTAACCGAACAGTTACAGCTGCACTCAGCACAGCTGTGCAACACTAAACAGCATATAAGAAGGCAAAGTGTATGTTTTTGTTTAGAACTCAGCAATTTCCTGCTGTGAAATTTAGGTTAAATTGGGTTTTGCTTCAGTGCATGCATAAAAATTGTAGAAGTGTATGCAGATGTTGTAAAAATTTACTTTAGTGGTCAAACAGTCCTCTGATGTAAAACTCAAACATTGCTGCGTTAAAACTGACTTTCTGTGTCCAGATGTGAAGGACACTGTGAACTCAGGTCTCCCGGTGTACGATAATGTGGAAGAGGAGGGGGTGGAGATGCCATTTGTGCAACCAGACACAAGCTCCACACAGCATGAAGAACAACTTAAGGAACCAGATCATCAAATACCTGTAAGGTTTGAAATTCACATATCTAACTTATATATGTGAAAATGTCAAAACTTAAAATTATTCAAGTCAGCTCTCGTGTGATTTATACTGAAAATTAAAATTTTTGCAGTAAATGGTTATTAATTAGTTTGAGTTGAGACATAAAGTGAAAACCTGGCAGAAATGCAACACAGTCCAAAACCGATTAAGTATTTAGATATATTACTAAGTGTGTCTACATAAGCTGTAATTGCCTCAAGCAGCCTTCAGTTCAAATCTTATAACTTAGCTCTCTAGATCCACCTGAAGGTCATCTGAATGTATTCTCCAAGGTTTTTAATTAAAGTTCTGGTCACACAATTGGTAGAGTACATTTTGAGACCCTATATCATTTCAATAAGGTACCTTTTTGAGTCTTTTCTACCAATTGTATTGCCAAAAAAATCCACCAAATGGCACCGTGACTTAAAAAGATAGCCCGAGAAGGGTCTGGCTGCAGCCGCTGTGGAGTACCATATTACCTCCACAGTAACCGGAAACACGTGACCTCCACAGTAGGCAGAAATACGTGACCTGCATGGATACAGTGGAAAACTTGCAAGTGGATCGTAAAGGTTGGGACAGAGTCTTTCATATATAAATTTGCCGTTAGCAATTTCATAATTCTAGGAATCATCTAGTTTGCTTACATTGATCATGTTGGCACTTTGCGTTACAGCAACGGGCATTTTTAAATTTAGTTCCATGGCAGAGAAACACACAGATATGTCTGTTTCCGGGCCCTGGTTAAAGTAAGAGAGCTGGATTAAGGGCTTCTGTGGGCGAGATGGCAAAAAATACACATTTTGCGTTAGAATATGATTTTTTTTGTTGGCATCAAAGATGGAAAGTAACAAAGTACAAATACGTCATTATTGTACTTGAGTAGAAGTTTCTGGTATCTGTACTTTACTGCTACACTTTCTTGTGCCTACTTTATACTTCTGCTTCTTTCATTTTAGCATGACATGTACTTTGTTCATGGTTATTACATTACATCTGCTTTTTTGTTGCCCAGATTTTAGTTAGCCTCGGTTAAATTGTCTGTTATATGTCAATAGATACATATGTCACAAATAAAAGTGTCTTGTAAATTATGTTTTTGTAAAGAATTTTCTCCCCAAATCTCTTACATGCTAACTGTAACGTGTTATTTCTGCTAAAACCTGAACCTAAATGTGTATACGGTGTTTATCTGTTTTTCTCTGTTTTAGATGCACATATCAATTTGGAATTCTGCCTCAAAGCCAGAATTGCAGGAATGCACAACATGTTGCAGAAGACTCTTTCACTGCCCTCTGTGCCCCAATTTCACCCCTACTGTCAGGGCAGTGATTGAGGAGCATATAAATGGACACATTAAAAATGCTTTGCCTTTTAAAGGTATGTTAGTATTATATATACCTTATAGTTTAAGTTATAAACATGCACTTCTTTTTAGTACTTCTGCAGTCTCTTTGTTGACTTAAAAGTTGCTTTTCACATTGTACAGTTCAGTGTATTCATCAGCAAGAGAAAAATGTGTTTTCATTAAATACATTTTTTGTTCGTGTTCACTACATTTCTTGACAGCTCTTGTGATCCACACCATTTTGCTTTCATTGTTGAGGATGGCTTGGATATTTTTCTTAACATGTACAGTCTGATTGTTAGATAAATTCATTGCATTCCATATAACTACATTTAAATTACATGTGTTTTTTTCTCTGTTACAGACAAAATGATATGCCGGTGCAGGCTGCCATGTAGGACAACAGGACATTTTCACTGTCCTGTCTGTAACATGACAATCATACGACGTGGGGATATGGCAAGGCATTTATTGTCATGTCAACATTCTTCAATAGCTAGTCAGCCACCACTATCAGGACTGCTCCCCACTGCACTCTCCAAGGTGCCCCGCATCCCTCTCGCTGCACTCTCCAAGAAGCCCCGTCGCCCTGTCAATGTCGTTTCTCCAGCATCTAAACCATTTTCTGAATCTTCGGTAGAACATGCATATGCTCTACCCTCTGTGCTAAATGAAGTCCATGAAAATGAAATGCCCTCACTGTGGTCTTAGTCTTTTTTTTTTTTAAAAAAGGC